CAAAGGTTAATGTTTTGTCAGGCTAAGGAAGACAAGCACTTTTCCAGATCCTGTATTTTCTTCAATCCTCGAAGAGGAAAATGCCTATTTTTACCATAAACTAACAATATTTAACATCAGTTAAGGGCAGAACAACTTAAGTTTTTCACTATTATAGGTCAAAAGCCCTTAGGACAAAAACAAGCACAAGAAAGGGGCACCTGGGTGGCTCAGTTGGTTAAGTGTCTGACTCTTGATTTCGGCTCAGGTCATGATCTCAGGGTCCTGGGATCAAGTCCCACATCGGGCTTCCTGCTCGACGGGAAGCCTGCTTCTCCGTCTCCCACTCCCCCTGCTTGTGCTCCTGGCTCTTGCTGTATCTCTGTCAAATAAATAAATAAAAGCTTTAAAAAAAAAAAAGAAAAAGAAAAATCAGGATAATCTGTTGTATTTTTTAAAAACTCAACAATGATCCTATTGACATTTTAAAGAAATGCTGGTAATGTTGATGGTAGTTGATTCCTTTTTTTTTTCTTTTTAACTTTCTTAGCATATCCTCTTCCTCCCTTCCCAAGTTCATTTATTTTTAAGTATATGGTTCCAAGAAATTCATGGTTCCAATGAAATTCTTAAATGTGGGACCCTCTATGTTAAATTCTTTGAGCCTCGGTTCTCTGGCCTACAAGTTGGGGATAATAATAGCTATAACCTCATAGGATTATGAAGATTCATACATTCCAAAGGAGATCTCATTATTGGATAATCCTAACCATTCTTGTGAGTTTTAGTTTTAGTGTGGGTCCCCACACTTCCTGAACCATTTCTACTGTGCGTTAAGGACAGCCTTCCAAGCCCCTAGCTGTCACCTCCCACTTATGTGTGTGTGCTCATCACACTCAGAAGTCCCAGGTTAAAGTGTCAAAGACCCACCAAGCAAGGAATCTTTTACTCCTGTCTTCTTAATAAGCATCGTAATTTGCGCATGAGAGTGTTGTGGCTTGCATATAGGAAAGAAATAGCATCCATATACAAGGGCAAACCAGTGCCCCCTTTTAGCAAGTTTCTATAGACCATAGTTCTTCAGTCGTAGAGTCAATTACATGGTAAGACTTTATTTCCCACTCTTTCTTGATGCTGGCAGTCGGACCAGGAGGAAGATGCGGAGCTCAAGGCACAGGTAGAAAATTAAAAATAAAGCAAAAGCAAAACCCAACGTGTGATAAGCATTGTGCGTCTCCGGTGTTCCAGTCTTCCAGCATGCTCTGTAGGCAGTTACCCATGTTGTCGGTGCAGTGTGGAGGATGGCATTTGTGCCCATGACTACTGTGTCCCTTACCTTTCCCTTTCTTCTCCACTTTTTTCAGAATAGTCTGATTAAGCGAATAAAGGGTGAAAATGTGTATGTCAAACATAGTAATCTTATGTTAGAGGTTGGTATTGGTATATACCAGTGCATGTTTGTGTGTGTCGGCATCCCTTTTAGTGGCATACCTGTGGGCTCATACAATGTTGCATGAACTGTGTGCTGTCACCTGTGAATAAGTGGGGATACCTTCTCAGCCTACTCTGGGTCCTCCCTCTCTCCTAGATATAGATCCTTTTTCCTGTGTGTATTTATTTTAATTTTTTTCTGGTTACATGTGAATTACACTCTTTATAGTTTGCCTTTCAAAACTCTTTTGATTTTTATGCTTGCGTGAACTAGATTTTTTTTCTTCTCTTTTCCTTAGAAATGTCACATTTTCACCAAAGTGCTTGTGGTTGTGTTATGAGCCCTGATCAGAATTCTTTTATTTTGACTACTAATGAGATTGACGTTACTTAAAAAAAAAAAAAAAAAACACAGATAGGAAGGCAAATGTAAAATGTTGACTGTTGGATTCTTTATGTTCTGAATATAGGAGCTAGATAAAACTCAAGATGACCTGATGAAACATCAAACCAATATTAGCGAGCTGAAAAGAACCTTTTTAGAAACCTCCACAGACACTGCCATCACGAATGAATGGGAAAAGAGGCTTTCTACCTCCCCGGTGCGACTAGCCGCCAGGCAGGAGGATGCGCCTATGATCGAGCCGCTCGTCCCTGAAGAGGTCGGTATGCGGGCTTTGGGTTGTCACTGTCCTGTGCTCACTGGCGGTGCTTCTTTGCAAGCTTCTGAGTAAGCAGTCTCACCACTGGTCTGTGTAAAAACAGAACTGACCTACTCTGGGCTCCCAAGAAAAGCTGCAAAGTAAAATGATGTGGCGGCTGAGGAGTGAGTAGTCACATCCCAGGGTGCTTGGAATGAACAAGGAGGCCCAGGGAAACTCTAGTGCATGCAAATTGGTTTGTTCTAACTGCGAACCTAGATTTCACAGCTGGGAGAAATTGAGATACTGTCTTAATGAACTGACACTTTTTCTGAAAAATGCTTTTTTCTGCTGCATTAAAAAGTGCCCTGAAAACTCATGAGTGTTTCTCATCAGTTGCAAGATGAGGCGTAGGGAGATTGTCTAATGTTTGACTCAACACTGATCTGAAGTTGACAGAATTTCAAGACGTGTTTTACTCTGGGAATACTACACCAGCCTTTTGCTGGTATAATTTGTGTTTGATTCGATTTTAACTGATTTTTTAAAATATACATGACTGATTATTTTAACTGATTTATAATCAGTTTTTATTTGGTTTTTAATAGAGAACGTAGAGGCCAGAATGTCTTTTTAAGTAAGAGTGTTCCATATTGGAAAGCTCTCTTTATATGGACAGCCAGACTGTGAGGATTCAGCAGATCCTACTTCGGGGCTCCCACTGTGGGACCCACAAATATCAGTGGTGCTCATCTGACTGTCAGCTATTAGATAGACATCATCTTGCTTTATCTGTCTTTCAAAAGAAGTAGTTTTTTTAATAACTGCATCTTTCTAACATTATACTGATTAACTTCTTTCTTATCAAGACTGTTGTTATAACATATTTGTCCAGAAAGCTGAGATAGAACAGAAAAAAATCAAAACTTAGGCCTTTATGAGAGAAAAACCCTTCAAGTGGTAGTCTATATGCAATGTTTAGGTCCTTGCAGTGAAAAGAAGAATATAATGACACTCATTTTGATCATTTTCTAAACTTCCCTTGAAAGCTATTTATCAAAAGTGATCACAAATCACTATATTCATGATAATTCCAATCCCAGCTGAAACGTGACAAGGTATGAATCCATTTGAATTACTTTGAAAAGGGCCCTTTTATGCAGAATAGATGAAAAGTACTGTTGCCAAAGCATTCCTGTACCATTACATATCTGTTTCATTCAGATGACTTGAGTAATATATAATGAGCTAGTAGTAGTGATTATATTCCAAGACTATCGTGTATGTTTACTATAAAATGGGAATTTTATTGCCAGTGGTTTCAACTTTCAAATACTGAGTTAATAGAAGATAAGTAGCAAGGAGGCCCCAAAGCAATGCACACTTTGGAACATAGACAAGCCCATATACAGGGCCCACCAAACAGGAAGGATAGATGTATGGTCCGTGAAGGCCTCCGGGTATGTCTCTGTCCACAGATATTTCCCATGACAGCCTTTGGTGATGCTCCTACACTGAGTCCATGTTAGAGCTATATGCCCTTGTGGTCACTTGAATACTAAAAGTTTCCAAACCCCAACCAAAATGCAATACCCATTAGCGCTTCTGCAGTGCCAATATCAGCCTCCTTGTCAACGCAGGTGGTAGTCTTAGGGCACGTAAGCTTAGCACGGGGTATCCTCCCGATTCACAGATTCCATAGTTGCACGTTAGCCTACTCACTGGAATTCACTGTAACCCTAAAATCAGCCTTAATGGCACTTTCCCAGTCGTCTGCAGACAGACACAGAGTGGTGAAAACTTTGTGTCTCAACCATGCATGTTCCCAGCTTTAGTTGCACAAGGCAGGGCCCTGCCTTCCTGTTTCAGTTCCCATACTGTAAATAAATTGCTTTTCAGGCCTATTTAGTGCCATGTTTTTGTGTTTCCCTGGGTGATTTTGCCACTTCAGATGACCCCCAGACATAACCCTGAAGTGCGAGCTAGTGTTCCTAAGCACAAGAAGACTGTCACTTGCCTTTTGGGAAAATATATGTGTTAGAGAAGTCTCATTCAGGAATAAGTTAGAGTGCTGTTGGGCGTGAGTTCAATGTTAACGGATCAATAATATGTATTAAATAAGGAGTCTTTAAACAAAAACACATACAAAACAAGGTTATGTATTGAACAGTTGATGACAATATCATGACCAGAGACTCACAGGAGCCTTAACCATGTGTTTCCCATAAAATCAGTGGTTCAGTATTCACCAACTCACTGTTCATGGGGATTTTATTGAACATGATTACCATGAATAAGTGGAATCGACTCTCTTTGTGCATATGTCTGCTTTCTACTCCAGCTGTACTCTTGCTAGTCAGGTTTTGTATGGGTCTCAAATTGGGGGGTGGCAGGGAGCGGAAACCATTCACTATGATCATGTTTGTGGATAGGGAGAGTTATCTTCATTCTCCGAATCTGACTTCTGTGACTTTCCATCAGGCCTTGGGGTGCATGCAACTCCAGGTACATATTAAAATTACCTATGGGAAGTCTTAAAAATACTAGGCCTAGGAGCTATTAAATCAGAGACTGATTTCATTCGTCTGAGCTGCACCCCCACGTAGTACTATTATTTTAAAAGATCTCCACGTAATTCTAATGCACAGCCCAGTTTGAGAACACCCTGGCCCAGGGAGGAACAAGGGCCATGGCTCTGCACAAATCCCTAATCCCCTGAGAGTGAGTAATACCTCTGTACATTTTGCATGCCAGTACAAGAGCCTTGTTTCCCAATTATGATATAGTGATGAATGTTTAAGTAACTAAAAATGTTTGGAGTATACAGCTGACTCTCTTCTAACCTGTGATAAAAGTGAACATTTCGATTATCAGCTTTTCTTTCTTTATCAGCATCTCTTCACTTGTCTTTAGCTGAAATAACTGAATTGAGGTTGACCATCTATAGGATTTTATTTTAAGACCTATCCCTTATGTTACCCTTTTCTCTCAGCGGACACACACAGTTCAGAATGCAGACAGTGTTGATACTTTCATTATAGACAAAGAAAATTTTGAAATTAGTTGATGTCAGATAACAGGATATGCTAAAAACCACTGTTTTCCTGCTATTATTGGTTTTTTTTAGGCTTTCATCTTAGGAATAATATTTACCTCAGTGATTATAATTAGAGGCCTGGCAGTGGTATTCTGAAAAGTACCTATAATTTTGACCTTTCCTTCCTGTTTCTTATTTCTCTATGAAAAAGAGGCTACAATTGAAAGTAAAACAAACAAAACAAAAATCCATATTTAATGATACCACGTTACATTTTGTCTTTTCCAATACCTTTCTCCAAAATGGGGAGGGATAGGGTTGATTTTTTTTTCCCCCTTCAGAAATATCTTACTTGTTCTTCATTGAAAAAGGGGCACAGGAAACCGATGCTATCAAAATTTGCCAGCAGGTCCTTCAGGAGAATATTCCAGATGTCCCCTTACAAACTCTTATAGGCAAACTATTAAAAGTAGTACTGATAGGTTTGTACACACATAGGAATAGTAAATAATTCTCATTAAATTATGTTGTTTACAATAGGATTTACTTTAAAAACTCTGTCCTTTTAGAAACTTTGGGCTTTCTGTTATGATTTTTTAGATTACTCTTCCTGAATACCCTTTCTGTCAGTACTCCATGGAGCTATCTATACACTATGCACAGAGATCGGCTCAGTAGCTAGTATATTGCCACTTGAATTATTCCTACTCAATACTAAAGGAAGGACTAGAAAGTAGGTAAAAGGAAGAAGCTAGTTGCTAACATGGCATATTTACTTCAATGTTTCTTAATGTTACATGTTAAGCGTGACTTGAAGTACTTAATTTTTCACAAAGATATTTTGAAATTGACTTTTTAAAGTTATTCACCATCTTATGAAAGTTCAAATAAAGCTATAAATTTTGAGTATACTTTGTTTTCTGTGGGATAATAAAGGAATCAATCTAGGTCTGAGTTTACTCGAGCTAGTAGCTGATGGCGGTGGCCCGTGTGTATTTCCTTGCCCGGGATGAAGCCAGCACTTCAGTGGGGAATGCAGTCAAGAGTTTGTCAGATATAGGAGTGAGGGTTTTTTCCCTCACTTAATTTTTTTTTTTTTTTTTTAATCTTCACATTTTCTTTTACTCCTCACTTCCACGGTTTTGCACATGACTGGCCTAGACACTGCGAATGCCAAGGAGATCTTTCTTTGGCTCTTGCATGTTTTGTATTTATAGAAGTGGAAAACGTGTGAGTCAAACACTGGAGCTTCAGAAAATAATCTGTTACTTTGGGGACATGATCATGAAACTTTGAGATGGTTTCAGACCACTTTTCAAATTCATAAGCAATAATTCACTTCTTCAGAAAGAAATGAATGACTATTATATGTACGACACAGTAAAAGAACTCTCTTCCTAACTTGCCTTTTTTTGGAAACTGTCTACTTCCTCTTCTCCAACCCAACCCCCTTTATTCAAACAGACCAAAGAAGAAAGAGAAATTTCTGAAAAAGTTATATTTTTGCAGCAAGGAAGCTCTCCATTCCTTGAGTCTCAGGTAAAAAACAAACATAAAGGAATTTCCCAGAAGGGAATTGCTCTTCAGCTTTCAGTGTCATTGAAATGTCTTTAGTTTTTATTTTCCTTTTTAACTCTGCCTCGCTTAAAACTAAGGTAGGTATGTCATTTTTGCTTAGATTCTGGGGAGGGGAAAGGGAATTTTCTTACTATTTTGGTTATCAGTTAGCCATCAGTACTTTATGGCTCTTGCTTCTCGGTGACTATAGCTGCGTGTGGTCATTGAAGCATTATGATGATGCTTTCTAAGAATATTGTTGGACTTTTTACTGTCTGCTTTACCCATAGAGTGATACTAACTTAGATGACCTTGACTGATTTTGAAAGTTCTGAACTTTTATTGGTTTTCCCACTAGCCGAGTCTGATAAAGAAAATGCAGGAAGGAGACTCTGCAGGCTCTGTGGTTACCTCTCGTCAAATCATTTTCCAGAAAACTGTCCCTTCGACCCTAGAGGTTATTTTTCAATTCATTTGCTTTAATCCAGCACCGGCACGTAGATCGATCTGTAATTTTTGTTCGTAAGGTACACAAATTTCTAGATTCCTATGCAAGCAGAAAACGCTGTAGTTTAAAATGTAAATCAAGGTACTCAATTGCCCCTGATTTGATTTTTCTTCCCTTCCTGATCTGTTAGACTAGTCCGCTGTCTGGTCTCATCCTAGTAGCCTTCTCAAATACAAGTCTCTTAACTTTCGTTTCTTCTGCCGTATTGGAACTAAGTACTAAGAAAAGTGGCAAAGAAACTACTCAGATGATGAACTTCGCTTGTAAATAAGATTGGAACACGGTACAGACCACCATGAGCTGTTGATAAGAGGCTCCAACAATGCCCCAGCGGTAGGAGGGACTTCCTGGCAGTGCCTTGAATAGGGCACGCTCAGTGTTTATTGAATAGTAAGCGCTGTAGTGGATTCAATCCTCCTATATGAGGAGGTAGAATTTACAAACATGAGAAATGGTATTCACAGAAATTCATGGGATGCTGGCGAGTTCTTTGTGAAAACAGCAGATAGGAAGTGCAGTGTTATAGTTGTCCTGGAAAATGGTCTTTTTGTGCCCATACAAGCTAAATGACTCATACAACAACTTCAGTAATGTCATTTACTCTTGAAATACAAAATGATCAGACTGTTAGTGTAAGGTCAAATAGAGTCTTGCAAACACTTACCACCAAGGTATGTTCCTGCTTAAAGAAATCTGCAATTGCAATTCTACATGCAGACTGTATTTCAAGTTGAAGGTTAGAGTTTGTACATTTCAGATAAGAAGAGCTCTGTGACCGTAATCCTTAGACATTAACACCAGCCCTGTGCAGTCACATCACAATGTAGCTTTTGCCCTGGTTTTCTTAAAGGATTCTTATTTTAGAAATGAGACCATCAGAATTTCTAATTTAGCTTTTATATTTCAAATATAGGGCACAGAGGATTGGGTTATTGTAGACAAAGTACCCACTGAGGTAGTTGATGGTGATTCGAAAAAGATTGTGACTTACAAGGTGGTGACCATGAGCAGTAGAAGCAGTGACATCCCCGCCGATCTGTTAAGATCTGGTGCCCTTGAAATGCAGAGCTTCGATGACTTGGCCCAGGAAATGCAGTTGAGAGGAGAGAGCAAACAGAAAATATACACTCTAGGAAAATCCTACGACACTGTATCGGGGAAGATTGTTACCATGACTGGAAAAGCCAAGGAGGGGGAGAAGGGGGTGCAGCCCTGCAGTCTGGAAGCCTTTCCGAAAACAGACAGAGGGTTGTCAGAGTCGGTGAAGATCATTTCAGGCATGGCCGATTACGAGGTCCTGGACACCCGCCCTGACGAGAAATCGAAAAGAGGGCCCGAGGTCCACACCCCCAAACGGAAATTGTCCGAATCCCTGGCTCCCATCCAGGAAGCTGAGTCCCGGCGGCCGAGCCCCGAGGAAGAAGAGCTGCAGAAAGCCCCACAGCTGGGCCGGGACACGGGGCCCCACGTGGGGCTGGACAGCACGTGCCTCGGCAGGACGGAGCCGCTGCCCGAGGGCGAGGTCTTGAGAGTGGGATTCTTTGGTCCCAGGCAGAAAAGCCTGTCCGAGTGGAGATACTCCCAGGAACCGGCCGTCACCGTGGCCACTGCTCATTACGTTACTGAGTCTGCCACGTCCCGAGTTGTGGTAACCAGTGCCTTTCGTTTGGGCCACTGTTTCAGATTCCAGCATGACATTTTTTTGAGGCAGTGCCCTTCCACCCTCAACTTTTCTGTTCCTCTTGCTGTTTGGCTTTATGTTGAGAACAGCCGACCCAAGCTTTTTACTTTTTTTCGTGGTTAGATCAATATCGTGTAAGCGTTAAAACACTTTCCGTTTTATTTCCAGCTCCCCGATCCCGAGATGTGGTTGGTAGTGCTCCTGGGGCTTGCAATGAAGGGAGAATGGTCTGCTTAAACCAGCACCGCCCATATCCTAATAACTCTCTCTGCTTTCCTGAACCAGAGCTCATGGTCGCCTCAATTTGCTATTTTGTTTCCCATTCTTTTCCGTTTCCAAAATCTGTATGGTAGAGTCCCTCCTCCCTCCTCCCTCCTTCCTCCCCTACAGTTTTGTCTAAGCAGCTGTGAATGTGAATGTGCCCGCCTATGTTCCTGTCTCTGTGCTTGACTGTCCGTTTCTTTGTTCACTCAGCCTAAACAGTCTTCTGCTGAAAAGCTCATGGATGGCTCTGAAATCTTCAGTTTATTAGAGTCTGCAAGAAAACCAACAGAATTCATAGGAGGGGTTACTTCTACTTCTCAAAGCTGGGTTCAGGTGGCCAATTGCTTCCTCTTTGGTGTTCCTGACTCTGCCTATTTGCCTTTCTTAGCCTTTTTGGTGTGTGCACGTATGTGTGAGCGAGTGAGTGTGTGTGTGTGTGTGTGTGTGTGTGTGTGTGTTTTGCTCAAGTGGCTTTGCCTTAAACACCTCAGAGGTATCTTCGGTGGTTTTCCTTTGTGCCTGCTTGGCATAGCTGTCATGTGCCTTTAGTTGCATCACTAGAACATACTTCAGATATTCAAAATTCAGATTTCAACAGTCGTGTTGAAAAAGTTTCATAGCATTTAATTTTTTTAAACATTTTATGTCACCTGTCAGGTCTCAGAAAGCTGCCAGAACCAATGGGAACACACTACGGTGCTTTCATTTTGTTTTGTTTTCATTGCATTTTATCCGCATTCTGTTTCATTTATCCACATCCTATTTCATTTGTGGCTATCCCAACATAGCAACACAGGCTCGGGGGGTGGGGGAAGGGTGTCGGGGCAGGGGGCATGCATCCGAGACCCTGGTGGGAGGGATGCAAGCTAATTTATATTTTCTATAAGCATTTCTGGTCATAAGCACTTGACACTGGCTTTAGGCGCCCTGGTGAGTGGCTGCTTTTGTTTTGATTTTTGTGTTTTCACCTTTGGTTTGTGGAAAGTCACACTGACACCGCAATCTTTTCCCATGCAGCAAATGGAAACCAAGACTGGGTCCAGCAAGGTAGAGGCAGAAACAAGCCAGCACCCCCAGCCACTTAGCACCGAGAAGGTTGTGCAGGAAACCGTGTTGGTGGAGGAAAGACACGTGATGAATGTGCATGCGAGTGGGGATGCTTCTTACGCGGCTGGAGATGACTTGGATGCTGCAGCCCAGGCAGCATCTGCTGATGCTTCTAGCTTGAAAGGGAAGGAGGGCTCTGCTCTGACGGAGGGAGCTAAGGAGGAGAAGGGGGAGGTGGCCAAGAAAGCTGTCCTCGAACAGGAAGAGACGGCCACTGCTTCCCACGAGCCAGTGGAGGAGCAGAGTGCAACAATCCACGTTTCTGAAACTTGGGAACAAAAACCTCATTTTGAGGTAATTAGTAGTTGACATTACTTTCCGCACTGATGTAGAACTGATCTATGAGTCCCCGAAATTTAGTTAAGCATAAAGGGGGAGCTAAGCTTAATTTTCTGCCTTTTCCAAGTGCAGTTTGTTTCTCCTCTCATTTCCCTCTTGCATGGCAATAGGGTCTCCATGCTGGTCTCCATCTTCGGGGTCACATGCAAACATATTTAATGATTATTAGTAACGTGTGGTTCCAGGAAACAGTTCCTGCCTTCATTGTAATTATTGGCAGTAGACCCGGGGAATGCATGGCCAGCCAAGATATAGAAAATTTGTTCAGTGTACTTCCCCAGAAGGACCAAAAACCATGCTTGCCTTGGTGTACCAAATGCCAGAACTTTCTTCTTTATCTCTTTTACTGAGATTCCTGAAGTATATGGAGTAGGGAACAGTTGATGTCTTCGTATTTGTTCCTTCTTTCTAAGAAGTTATTAAATAAGAGGCTAATTGATGATTTTTGACTTATTAGTTTAGGTGATAGAGGAGGGGGAGTGTAAAAAGAGTTCATTAAACATTTCCTTCAAAATGCTTTCCTTTACCTGGAACATCCCATGTTAAAAAAAAAAAAAAAAAGTCTATGGAATTCTGACTGACCTGGTGTCTGCCTCATTCCTCAATTTACCCTTCCCATGTTATACATAAACATTTATTTCATACTAACCTGTGCTTATCCATACCGGGGGAGGGGGGGACCAAAATCATGTCTTTGTGCAAACTATAAGAGCAGCTCTGCCTACTTCCCGTTGGTACAGTCATCAACTGTGAAGACAGAAACCATCAGTTTGGGCAGTGTTTCACCAGGAGGAGTAAAGCTAGAAATTTCTACCAAGGAAGTACCGGTCGTTCACACGGAAACAAAAACCATCACATATGAATCATCACAGGTAAGAAGTCTGTGAAGGCCAGAGCCCTGGCACTTTGTTTTGCCCCTTAAATGGCTTACTGCATTCTAGTATAACTAGATGACATTTAATTCGTGAGACTCAGAGGACCCAGCAGCTAAACTGTGTATATCAAGAGTGATAATGGTAGTAATTAAAACTTTATTACCGATCCAGAAACATCAGGTGACTTAAACAGGTCTTCATACATCTTAAAATGTAGAATAAGGCTCAGGAACCTATTTCTCTAGCCATAGATAAGGAAAAATACTAGCTCAAGCACACCCTACTGACATTTCTCAAGTCCCAGTTTTTTAACGACAGTTACCTCTGGCCATGTTCGGGTGAGTCTGTCCGGAGGGCCGCGGCTCCTGTATGCTGACTGGACAACACAGTGACTGTGGGAGATGACTGAGTCATTGTGATGCCCTGACCCAACATAAGTATTTGAGTGTGGTGTCTGTTCCTTTGTTTCCGTAGGTTGATGCTGGTGCGGATTTGGAGCCAGGCGTGCTAATGAGTGCACAGACGATCACATCTGAAACCACCAGTACCACGACCACCACCCACATCACCAAAGTAAGTGGAGTGGGGACAGATAAAAGTAAGGCACTTACATGGAACTTCTTGCCAGTTGGGCTGTGCAGGGGGCGTTACGTGACTGCCAGGACGCCCAGACAGCTGCATCTCATGCCCACTCTGTCTCTGGGGCATTTGCCCTTATGTGCTCATTTCTGTTTAGGAATATGCATTCTGAAATCTCTTGCTTAACACGGACTCTAGTCCTTAGCATATGGTCGGTGTTCCAGAAACACTGGCCAGCCACACCCAAAGGACTCCATTTTAGCTTCACTTCTGAAATTAACGATTTTAAGTAATTGCCAAAGAATTGTTTCAACTCTTCATGAATGCTGTTAGTTAAAACTCTGTTAGCATTTCCAGCCATTTCCCCCACTGAACCATGATCGTTTTTCCAGGTGGGTAACTTTGTAATGCTTGTCTGTCCCTTGCAGACTGTGAAAGGAGGCATTTCGGAGACAAGAATTGAAAAGCGGATAGTCATCACAGGAGATGCCGACATTGACCATGACCAGGTAGTGTGTGTGAGAATGGTCAATACCCTGGCAGAGAAACAGGGACACTGGTCAGCCCCACTCTTCCCAGTGTTGTTCTTCTAGTCCATCATGCAGTCTAAACAGTTTTCTGAAGTAACTTTTCAATATGCAATGTCCGATTCCTTTTGCAATCATTGTACCTCATTTGTAAATTATGTGTATAGATCTAGCTCGTAAGTCTCCACCTTGCTACTGATCATGCATGTTCTACCTCCTTTTTGTCTTTGCCCTTCTGTGATTTCCTGGGGATAGGCGCTGGCTCAGGCAATTAAAGAGGCCAAAGAGCAGCACCCTGACATGTCAGTGACCAAAGTAGTGGTCCATAAAGAGACAGAGATCACACCAGAAGATGGAGAGGATTGACCCCAGGTAAGAGGCAACGCTGATTCTCTAGGCTTGGCCTTGGCTGGCATGTAGCATGGGGCCACTTCCCTCTGTCCTTCCCCTGCCTCTTCCTCCTCCCCTTCCTCCTTTCTTCTCTCACTGGCATTGGCAAGACTGCTCACCAAGGGGGTGGAGAATTGGTTTGTGGGTGCTGGTTTGTTTCAGATTTGGGGGTTCCATACTGTGGACTTTTTACATATTCTGCCAGGTAGAGGATCAAGAAAGAAGCAGTCTTTGCTTGCATGGTCTCGCTGGTGTTTCCTTTTCATTCATGCCCTGTGCTCTTCATTATCCAAATTCGAAGTGTCAGATTTGATTTCACTTGCCATGTGGCCTAATCAGAATGAAGGCCACTTTGTTCTGGAAGGTACAATTTGTGTGTTCCACATACCAGGGAAATAAAAGGTACCCCTTTCTCCTTTGGACAGCAACATTACCCCATTTATTGTAAGCTTTCTCTGCAGCTGTTTGGTTATGCTTCCGTTTATGCTCTCATTTTGCTTTGTTTCTGAATTTGAAACCTGGGCATTCACTTTGATTTTGGATGTCTTATATTTTCTGTATTCTTTGGGATGGTTTTTTTTCCTGTTAGTATAGCATCATGTCTCAGGAGGAGGCAAAAATGCAGCCTTGTGTTCCTGCTTTTCTCTAGAAAGTGTGTGCATGCCTTTTCAATGGCTATTTGGCTGGCATTGGGAGCAGATAGCGTCTTCTTTGTGTGCACAGACTTGTTATGCACACCACCTGCTGTGCAAGAACTCATGGGCCCAGAGCATCCCCAGAGGGCTTTGAATGCTGAATGCAACCGTCGAGCTACTTGCACACTTGGTTATGTGACAAAAGTCTCTTAAACGCTTTACATGTATAAATGAAATAAGGAAGTTCTCTAATGTTGGTTTAGAAACTATAGATTGAATAGCGGCCTCCCTTAAAGGAAAAAAAAAGGTCACTCATTATGTTCAAATTAATCATGTTCTTTGGAAGACAGAAAGCAGAAAAAGGGTTCTCCAGTGAGCTTCAGCCGCTTGGATGATGTAGTTACGTAAGAGAACGCATATCAGTGACTTATGCAGGAATTTTACAGTATGTTGTCAAAAAGTGCATGTAATAACCTGCAAGATCATTTTTTTCTTTTTGTGGCCTTAATCTGTGGAAGACTCTCAGGTGTTTTCCAAGGAGTAACTGATCAAATCTCTTTCCTACAGGAATAACTTAGCCTGCACATGAATCCAGTCATGCAAACCATTAGGAAAACCAGAGCCTATATGGAGTTCCGTCTTCTAACCCAACTGACTTGTATCTGCCCATGGAAAATTTCAATCCAGGAGAACTGATCTAGACCATTAATAAAGACACTGGCAGAGAGATCTTCCCATAATAAAGCAATCCGAATCAGCATCACAAAACTGATATTGCATGAAGCAACGATAAAATTACAAAAGAGTAGCATTTTTAATTTCCACCAAGTGTCTAAGTTTCCGGCTATACCTGCACGTTCATAACCAACAATATAAACCGTGATCTCATGTAACACATAAACAATTCATGCCTTTCATAGTTTATTATTAAAGTCTAAACAAAATCACAATTTCTTAGGTGACAGATCTTTTGTTTACAGACAAACGAAGATTACCCGAAAATGCTAGAAGCTGTCTAGGTCCAATGTGTCAGGTTTATCCCAGATTAGATGTGCCAATAACCGAGTTTATTCAGTAAACAACTTGAATCTCGTACTTGTTTCACCTGGTTTTATTATTCTCACCCATACACAGCAACGACTCTCAATCCTCTGGAAATATTTAATGCTTACAATCCTGCTTTGTGTATCTAATTTGATTCGTTATAAGGTAGAACTGATTTTAGCATATTAATGTGATTTCTTCCTTGTTTGCTTTGGTCTGCGTCCAACCTGGAAAGCTTCCAAGATTTCCCTAACAAGTCCTAAATATGTAAATTGTCATTATTTGGGGGAAGAAAACCTGTTTTTGTTAGTTTACAATATTACGAAATTTCACTCCAGAAAAAGCTGTTGGGCTTCTGTTGCTTTGTTTTCTCTCTTTGTTTCTTCTTCCTTGTGTTTTTAAGTTGATTTTACTTCTTTTACTTGAAAAAGAAAAAAGTGTTTTATTTCCAAATCTGGTCCATATTTACAATCTAGTTCAGAGCCAAGCCTTAAATTGTACAGAATTTCCACTGTAATTAAACTATTTAGTGTTTAGTTATAAATAGCCTTCAAAAAGGTATATTCTCCATTACACTGTCAACTGCATCACACAGCCATGGTGAATGTATGTTTCTGCATAGCGAAATAAAAATGGTAAATGCATTTAAAGCTCTGATTCTCTGTGTGTGATAATTTCAGTATTGTCTGTGTTTAGCCAAGAGGTGGCATGCGCATGACACCGGAGGCCTCATTCCTCTGCACTGTATAGAGCTTGTCTTTTTACAGGACAAAATGTGCCTATGGTGACATGACACAGTATATGGACCCTTCGAGGTATGGGAGACAGGAAACAGAATACATACACATAAATGTTTGGTTGCCTAGGAAGGCCTTAAAAAGTACAACTAGTTACCACAGAGTCTCATCTTCTAAGTTAGGTTTTTTATAAGAAAAGAGGTTTGCCAATAAACCCAGTGTTTCTGGCTGCTTTTAATCTCCTGGAGAGACACCTCTCTCACACACGTCAGCTCCACAGTGGAACACATTGGCTGCAGCATTCTAGAAGGGCCCATTCAGTGTGTTCCCACAGCTCATTCACAGGAAACTCCTCAGGCCAGGCAGTCTAACGCCAAACTGCGCTTGCTGGCCTACACTACTGTGTCATGCTTAGCTTGCTGATTTTTTTTAAACTAATTTTAATTTTTTTCCAAAGAATTATTAGATTTGACCCACATATATTCTTCTGTGAAGAAGTTACCTGTTGCTCTTACTGTCAGTACTGGGTATTCATTTTAGGTACTGAAGCGTCATTTTGTGTTTGAAGCTGATCAGAAAATGTGTTGAGACCATACACAAAAATGAACTCAAAATGGACTAAAGACCTAAATGTGAGACCTGAACTATAAAAATCCAAAAGAGAGCATGGGCAGGAATCTCTGACATCGGCTGTAGCAACATTTTTCTAGATCTGTTCTCCTGAGGCAAGGGAAACAAAAGCAAAAATAAACTATTAGGACTACATCAAAATAAAAAGCTTCTGCACAGCAAAGGAAACAACCAGCAAAACTAAAAGACAACCTACTGAATGGGAGAAGATATTTTCAAATGACATATCTGATAAAGGACTAGTATTTGAAATATATAAAGAAATTATACAAATCAACACCAAGAAAACCCCAAATAATCCAATTTTAAAATGGGCAGAAGACCTGAAGAGACATTTTTACAAAGACCTGCAAATGGCCAACAGACACATGAAAAGATGCTCAGCATCACTCATCATTAGGGAAATGCAAATCAGAACTATAATGAGATATTACCTCACACCTGTCATAATGGCTAAAACAACAAAGAAACAACAGGTGTTGGCAAGAATGTGGAGAAAAAGGAGCCCTCATGCACTTGGTGGGCGTGCAAACTGGTGCAGCCACTGTGGAAAACAGTATGGAGGTCCTCAAAAAAAATTAAAAATAGAGCTACCCTATGACTCAGTAATCACACTACTGGATATTTACCCAAAGAATATGAAAACACTAATTTAAAAGTATATATGCACCCCTATGATTATTGCAGGATTATTTGTAATAGCCAAATTATGGAAGCAGCCCAAGTATCCATCAATAGATGAATGGATAATGACATGGTATATATATATTTATATATAATGGAATGATTTGGAATTGTATATAATGGAATATTATTTATATAGGGAGAGAGAGAGGAATATTACTCAGCCATAAAAAGGAATGAAATCTTGCCATTTGCAACAAAATGGATGGAGCTAGAGGGTAGAATGCTGAATGAAATAAGTCAGAGAAAAATACCATATGATCTCACAAATGTTTGGAATTTAAGAAACAAAAGAAATTAACAAAGAAAAAAAGAGACAAACCAAAAAATAGAATACAGAGGGTTGCCATAGAGGTGGGGCGGTGGGGAATGGGTGAAATAGGTGAAGGGGATGAAGACTACACTTACCATGGTGAGCACTGAGTAATGTATAGAATTGTGGAATCACTATATTGTACACCTGAAACTAATATAACACTGTTAATTGTACTTTAAATTTTTTCTTAAAACAAATTTTGAGAAAACACTTTTTTGATATGAAAATGGCCAGTAGCCTCCCAAGGATGATTGTACCCAATCTGCTTAGTTTATATCCATCAAGTTGTCCCCATGTTTGTTGTTTTAATTTTTTAAATATATAAGTATAATTGACATACAACATGTTTCAGATGTCCAACATGATTCAATATTTGTATATATTATGAAATGATCACCACAATAAGTCTTGTTAATATCCATTACCATACATAGTGACAGATTTTTTCCTTGTGATGAGAACTTTTAAGGTTTACTGTTTTAGCAACTTTCAAATACGCAATACAGTGTTAACTATAGTTACCATGCTGTCCGTGTTCATGGTTTTAAAGCAAAGCTAAAGTTTTCATGTGTAGTGAAACATGAGCTAGTGTTTTCATGTTTCTCTGTCCCTAGCAATAAGTGCTTATTCATTTTTATAAAATTACATTACCAGAGAAGTTACACATTTTCAGCATTCTTTCCTTCTATTATGCTCCTCGTAATTTTTCCTGCCTGCACCCGCTGTTATATGAGGATCCCAAAACCACTCCCACATACTTGGTTATTTATGACAGCAATGTCCCACATCTAGTACCAAAATCAGTATCTGCTTTTATTGCTGCATAACAATTTCCACACAATTAGCAGCTTAAATCAACATGCATTTATTACCTCTTTCTGTGGGTCAGGAGTCTGGGCATGGTTCTCCTGGCTCCTCTGAAAAGCTACAGTCAAGGTGTCAGCCGGGACTGGGGTCTCATCTACAAGCTCGACTGGGGAAGGATCCACTTCCAAACTCTCTATAGCTGTTTGCAGAAGTCATTTTCTTGTTGTGGGAGCCTTGGAAACTTGCTTTTTCAAAACCAGCAGTGAAGGGGGAGACTCTAGAGTGTGTCTGCTAGCCAGACAATCTTCTATAACGTAACATAATCAAAGGAGTGGCTTCCCATTACTTTTGCCATATTCTGTTGATTAGAAGTAAGTCATGGGGTTCTTTTGACAGCACCAACATATTTAAAATTTAGATTTGGAGATTATTAGTCACTAACATTCCCTAACTCAACAGTTTTAAAGAGAGAGTCCACTAATGTATGAAATTGGGTTATGCTCATTGCTAAGCTCTCAGGTAATCTCAGAATTTTAGCCATGACTACTAATGCAGAAAAATGCAGCATTGCATTAGGTGGGAAAAAGACCCTGGAGATTACACTTTCAGAAACTGAAGAATGCCACTTAGTTAGCTATTTGCCCCACAGAAAAGAAACACTTGCTTCTCAATTTGCTCTAAGATTCAGGTTGTTAGAAAACAAGAATCTATGCTTCTCTCAAATGAGCAGAAAAACAACTTGCAAACCTAAAAGCAATATGGTGCAGCCATTGGTAACCAGCGTTTTCCTGCTGATCACCTGGGATCTGAAGAAACATCAGTTATGGAGTTGCCAAGCTTAGAACCATCCATAGGATACTTTCTCTGGAGTCATAGAGTGAATTCTTAGGTCCAGATAATAGCCTTCCTTTAGGTAGAACACTTCCTGCTTTCAAATGGAGCTCAGCCTGGGTGGTGAGCCCTCAGCTTGTTTGGGCACCTTCCTCCTTTAGCATTGAGATTGATGGACGGACTTCTGCTGATGGTGACACGTACACTGCCCCCGCAAGAGAGCTGAGGGCAATGCTAACAAGGTGGAGATTTTGTGCAGTTTCACTCTCCCAGAAGATTTTTCCATCCCGTTCTTTATATTCCTTTCAAATTTCACAGAGCCACCATGTCCCTTCTGCTTGGGCACACCTTGTAGGATAATTCAGCCCTTTTTTTTTTTTTTACAGTTAATATAATCCATTTCAATTCTGCTGACTTCTTTCTAGCACAGCTATTTTGCTATTAATATCAACCCCAGCAATTTTTTAAAAATTAACATAGATTCTGGAACATGGATCCAAAATTGCTTCTGAATTACACATGAGGGTTTTATGTACCTTCCATTAAATGCTTTTTTATCTTTCTCACTACAGTAAATTAACCCGTGGTCAGAAGTGTCTGCCTTGGATTGCCGTAGAGGTGGTCTAATGTTTTAATGAGCATTTATTCATTAAGTGAAATTGGATTATTCCCTTTTTAAAAACTACATTTTGTGGCAGGCCATTGGTGCATGTACAATTGTATTCTCAAAAATTACATTTCATTTTGACAAATAGTTTATCAGAGCTGATTAACTCTGAAGAAGGGTAAGAAAAGGAGCTAATGCTCCCTGACAAGTGTGGTTACTAACACGCACATGAACACACAATAGTCTGTCATGTTTCTTTGAGATAGATGTAATCTTTTAAGAGATTGGCCAGGTTCTTGTATTGTAAGCTTAAGGAAGAGCTTATCAGCCAAGATAGTATATGGATTTTTAGAGCACCCCAAACAAGGAGGAGCTAGAATATTTTTTGCCTGAATTTCAGGCTTATTCCCCTTGAATAATAAGTCAAAATGATCTCTGAAGACAAGCAATGACAAAGAAATGCACATTTTAACACAGTATAATTTACCAGCAAGCAGTTGGCCAGAGCATCATTTTAATTCCAGGTTTGAAGATGCAAAGCAAAAGTCACTTCTGGTGGGAGGTGTGAGTTGGTAGCTTGTCTGGAGTAGGATCAATAAAATATATCCTAAATTTTTTACAGTGTTTAAACCAGCAAATCCTCTCATGGGGATTTTTCCTAAACAAGACAGAGTTGTACAGGAACTAATGTACAAGAATGTGTAGCTCAGTGTTGCTCATAAAAATGAAAAACTTTAGACAGTAAATACTCAGCAGTGGGAAATTTGTAAGTAATTAATGAAAACGACATAAGATGGAATACTATGCGACCAGCCAAAATTATAAAATACGAACTTCATAAGGGAAATAGTCCTAATATGTTAAGTATAAAAGTGGATAAAACAATTTATACATTATGGTGTTAAGTGGGTAAAAATGTTTACTCCCAGAAAACACATGGACATATACCAAAATGGTAGCAGTGCCTTTCTGTCTCTGAAGGCAGCACATATAGTGATTTTTCTTTCTTCCTTGTGCTGTTTTATTTTTCCAGTTTCA